GGGAAGCCTTTGTGAAAGACTGCGTCCTTGCTGTGTGCACAGAAATTTGTTTGCACCTCTGGGTATTATGACAGCCTCTGCCTTCTTCTTGAGGTGACTTGTTCACCAGAGCTGTTTGGTGGAGCAGTTGACAGCCTGGTAACATCTGAGATGGCATAGACACACCAGAGGAAGCAAGGAACAGTGAGGATCAGTAAGCAGAGCTCTTTTCCATCTTGGAGTTATTTGAACCCATGTCCCTTAGGGAGAGGGGAGCACAGAGGACAGGCTGAACATGACAGTAAGCTAAATAAGGGTCATGTGCTAAAGGAATTCAGTTGGAATTTTTGTCCTGGAAGAGACATTTAGAAAACCAGCCGACTTGTTGAGGACAGTAACAGGGGCTCCTGACATAAATAGCTTTTCCCTCTTGGCTGGCTGTTGGTGGCCCATGACTTGTAGCTGCACTCAGACCCTGCCACTCAACAGGTGTATCCCGACTCCACAAATAAGTGCAGTTGGTCATTGTGTTAGCCAGCCTTGCCACAGGGCCAAGGTTGATAGTGGGGCTTAGCCACTGTGACCTGTTTGTTCTCTCTATGACCCTTCCAGTCAGGCCTCAGGCAGGCTGGTGACAGCTTTTATGCAGACAGCAGATTTTGTCCACAGAAGAAATTCAGTCTCAGCAGGTCTCTGCACACTTGCATTTCCAGATGAGCTCTTCAGTACTTAAAATGTAGCAAAACATGAAGGACTTTGGTGGGTTAGGGTGCCCCATGCAGCTGGGAAAATACAGGGCATGACATGTTGGTGTTATCTTCTGTAACATGGCCTATGTTGTTGCAGGCACCACTGTTTTGGCACATGCTGAAATTGTAGACCGCCAACAGAAATCTCCCTGGGATGCAGTACAGAACAGAAGCTCTTGCTGTTGCAGAAATACCATTTCTGGTGCAAAAGGACTTTAGATGGGGAGGGGATCATTGAAGGCAAGATCTGTTGGAGGTGAAGCTTTAGAAGGTGATGTGCCCTGGCTGAGTGAGTCTTTTGTTGCTTTTTTTGGGGCCCAGGCCAGCAACCTGAGGCCCAGGCCTTGGTACCTGAGGTCACCTGGGTCAGTGGTGCTGTGTAGGGACAGTTCCAGTCTCTTACTTCAGCAGCTGGGAAGTGGGCTCCAGAAGGAATATTACATTTCTTTTGGTAACTCTGCCAAGAAAGAGAGGAAATTCATAATTTGAGCAAAATACTTTTAGCTTTTTTTTTTTTTTTTTTTTTTTTTTTTTTTTTTTTTTTTTTTTTTTTTTTTTGTAGAGTGGGGAGAGGTAGAAAGGGGGAAATGAAAAATCCTTTATAATGGGTTGCTTGGGATGATTTTTCTCTTGGAGCTCCCTCTCAGGCTGTATGAAATGTTCACCTTCTCTTCCTTAGTGTAACAAAATATATTTTTAAAATACAAAATAAGACTCCTTTGAAAAGGGAGCCTCCATCAGGAGTGTATGCAATTGGAAGCATGCATTGGCTCAGGTTATGTATTGTACTATGATTTGGGATCCTGTTAGAGTGCTTTTTGGTGGTAATTAGATAATAACAAAGACAGCCTTGTATGTTGTGAGTAATGTAACTTTATCAAATATTGATAATTGTGATGCCCTAGCAGAGGTGTAAGATGATGCACTCTATAAAGGGCTTTAAGAATATTTTACTTGAGTTTCATTGTGTTTTCACTCATTCCTTCATCCTGTGTTTCCTGTCATCCTTCTAGGATGCTGGACTGTACCTTAGTTGCTTTCTGATAAAGGCCTGTGTAGGTCCTGCTAAAAATAGCAGTCCTTCTCCAGTGAGTCAGCCTCAGTAGTCTTGAAGTTCACTGTTGGGTGGCTTCTCTGGGAACACAAGTGCCAAGATCTTGATTTCACAGAGTAGTTAAGCATGTCCTGAATTTTAAGCATGTAGCTTAGTATTTTTCTGGATTGTATACTAAGAAAGATCAAGGTATTCAATGTTCTTTCCATGGCATTTTATATAGCATTTGGCTTCATAGGGTAGTTTAGTCTCCTGAATCTTTGGATGTTCAACACAGTTGCTGAAGTAAGAGGTACCTAGTTAAGTCAACCTCTCAGTGCAGATGTCTGATGTCTGTTGATTGCCTCGGTCGTCATGGAAAAATTCTTAAAAGGTTGCAAGTGTAGAAGGTGTGTTGATCATGACTAAAACAAAATAGGCTCTTGTAGGGGACAAAATTAGTTTTTTATCAAATTGTTAAGTTTATAGGGTGATGCCATTTTTAACTTTCTAAGATTTGAGAGTCGTTCTCAGGCATTGCAGTGATACTCATCACATTTTTTGATGCATTCTGGGAATTGCTCTGGAGGGATGCTGCTGTGGGAGCAAATCAAGTGATCAGATTGTATCTCAGCACTTGATTCCAATGCTGGCCTTGGTTTAACTTCAGGCATGAGGGATCGAATATCTCTAACACTGCACTGCAGCATTTGCTGCCCCATAATTGGCAAAGGGGAGGGATGTATCAGTCCAATTTCTACATAATCTTTCTCCATATGGTCTGTCCCTTTTCTTGCATCTACTTTGAATCAATTAAATGTATGGGATATAAAAGGAGGATACTTTTAGGACATGTTTAAATTAGGTGGATTCAGAGTTGTTATATGGAGGAGGAAGGCTGGATGAATAAATAATATATAAATTAAGATAAAACAAAAAAAAGACAAAACACCATAACCACCCCCCTTCCAAATCACATCAGACCTCCCCACCCAGCCCTCATCCCCTCCTTGTAGGAACAGTTGATGTGTGGGAAAGAACGAGGTGTCTGTTTCAGGAGTAAGTTCAACAGTGAACTGGGGTTCTGGGCCGAGCCAATGTGTGACTCTTCAGAACTTTCATTTTCAGCAGTAGGAGGGTCAAGGCCTGCTAGAAAAGGGACCAGCAGTGTAAGATGAAGGCTGCTTTTTTGACCTTGGAGTCACCTTTTTCAGAGCCTTGGAAATTGCATCTAGTCTTAGAAGGGTTTATGCATTGAGCTCAGAATGTCTGGTTGGGCCAGCATGTGTTGGGAGGGGGATGTAGCATGAGTGTGTTTTCCATCACTGTGCAAGCTGGTGACTTAAAATCTGTATGTGGGGAGAACTTAACTGAGGGTTGAGTGTAGGGAGGAGAAGTGTTTTGGAGTACTGAATGGAATTGCATGTAGGCGGAGAGCCTGAACTCTGTCTGGGAGAGTAATAAGCAATGATGAGAGTGGATCTGACCTGACTTTTCGGTACTGTGCATTCCTCATCTCAGACACTATCTGGCCTCATGAGCTCTTGCAAGTGCTCCCTTTAAAAAAGGAATTCCTCTTCTTGCAGCTTAGTCTAACTCTGTTTTGGTTTTGTTTGTTTGTTTTTAAATGGCTATGAAAAATAAAGAGCCTGTAGCTTTCTAAATTCAATTTTAATTGGTGTGGCTCTACTGATCATAAATGTAAAGTTGCAAAGCTTTCTAGAGGATGAAAAGCTTTTCTGTGTGTGGTTTCTGTTTTTGTTTAAAATGGGTCACATGCCCAGGAATGCAGTCAAATTATAATGGTGACTAAGTGCCGGAAAGCATAGAAAAGAGGAGGGAAGGGTGAACAGAAAAAGAGGAGCCTGAGGCTATGGAAGGAAGGCTGGGAAAATAAGAATCTGGCCAGACCCCAGGGCCAGGTTAGAGATTCATACACCCATTAACACAGGAGATGTTTATTTACAGGGAGCCAATCTTTGTTTTAAAAATGACAGAGTACCCAAAAATGCTACTTTTAGGAAGTGGATTGGAGAGACTGTAGGGGTGGGAGGAAGAAACTGATTCTCATGAGGCACCAGTTCCCATCTCTCGAGGATCTTCTCCCTATGAATCTGGGTGTGTTGGCTGTTGAGAAATGCATGAATGTGGGATAAACTCTTGTAGTCTAGTAAGTGTAAGTTACAAAGGACTAGAGTTTCTTCTTGGTTGTAGTTTTCTGATATTTTCTATCTAAGCAGCTCCAGAAGGATATTGAATAATTAAATTTATGATATGAGAAAGATGGGAGCTAAGGCTGCCTTTCCCCATGTCTTTAATCAACTCTGGTCATGAAAACAAAACAGGTGTTGAACAGCTGCTTGAACTGAGTAGATTCATGTAGACTCTAAGGAGTCCTTGTCCCAGGTCTCCGTGGTACCTACTTTTTGTCACATCTTGAAGAGTATTGATCTTGGTTTGTCTCAGTTCATTCCAATAACTTTGATTTGTAGCCCAGCAACAGCTATATGAGCTATAGTCTCTCTCTTAGTAGCTTTGTCTGTCTGTAAAGAGAGAATTTTCCAGCGATATGCTGGAATTCTCTGTCCTTTGGTGAGCTGCTGCAAAAGATAATTTTTTTTGGGGTGTGTGTGAATTGGATTGTTTATACACATTAATGTATTTTATCTTTAGTTTAAACACATCTTGATTTCTGATTGTTGTATCTGGTTATGGGATTGTCAGGCAGGTGATACTCTGGAACAGTTTCTTTCCTAGTGCTTCTGGATAGACACTCTGTGGCTTCTCGCTTCAGTGTTCTCCTGACTAGTGTTGCCTCCATCTGTTCTTGTGTGGTGTTGTCCTTATCTTAAATAGCTCTTGTCAGTCTCTATTAAAAGGGTGATGTCCTATATCTCTGGTTCTTCTGGTGGTTTCTTTCTGTGTCATCTTGTTTGGATTACATTTTGTCTGAACCTGTGCTGCATTCAGTATACTTGGTGAAGTCTTGATCATATTTAAGGTTTGTGATCATCAGAGGTGGCTTTCTTTGCTGGTAATTCCCCATTTTTGTCAGTGTTTGTTTCTTGTCAGCTCTTACAAATGTCCTCACTGTAGTGTGGCACTGGTACCATCAGTGTGTGTCAGTTCATCATTGTGCAACCAGGGTGAGAGCTTACCTATGGCTATCTTGAATGCATTTGTTGTCCAGAAGGCATCAGTCCTGTTTGCTAATGTCATCTCTCCTTCTCTGTCTGCAGAGCTCCTGGCATTCCAGTGAAGGAAAGGGTGAAGGTGTCTCAGAACTGGAGGCATGGACGCTGCCGGAGGGAGACAGTCCTGAAATGGAAATGCAAGCAAGTGGTTTCTTCCTCTTTTTCTTTGTTATGTGACAGCTGCTGTGGGGCCTTGGGTTTGTGCCTGTCCCCTGAAATGAGATGTTTCCAGCTCTTTGTGCTCCATGAGGTCTTACAAGTGATTGTTGCTGGCTTAATTTGGCTGTTCCTGGGTAACTGGAGTTGTTGCCTTGCCCTAGGTATTAATGATGAGTGTCAGGAATTTCTTTCTTAGTAATTTGAATTTGTTCTGATCTATAGTTCTAGTCTCATTTAGCAACCTTTACTACAAACTGTTGCATTCATGTTTACTGCTGTGTACCACAAGCAATCTTTTGTCCTGTTCTCACAACAAGCCCATCTTGATCCCAGATATGGACTTATATGTCCCCTCAAAATGCTTCATTTGTCTCCTGTGGTTTATCCTGGATCCTGATTTGGATGTACAAATCTAAAATGCTAATTGCCATTCATCTGCTTTTTGCTCCTTCATACTCATGCTTCTCTCCTTCACTTAAAAAAAAGTATATTTGACATTAATGATGGGAGCTTGTTCAATTCTTGTTTGCAAAGGTGTACTTGGCTTTCAAAGCAAAGCATATGATAGGTCTCTTGTCTGAGCTGCACATCGAAATTTTCAGCCTTCACATCATCAGACTGAAGGAAAAATAAAAAAGACTGTGGTTTGTTAGCTGCTGAAGAACAGGGACCTTCTACTGAGCTTTCATACCTTTTTGTGCTGTGTAGATTGAAGTGGTGGATAATGTGCTACTTCTTGCCTAGAGTCCTGGGAACAGCTGTAATGAGCAGAGTGGGTTTTGGTGCAGGCTGTATACCTGCCTTTGAAGTGCTTGCAACCATCTGTGAAGACAGGCTCTGTGGATATTAGAGATCATTACTAAACCAGCTTCCCAAGTGAAAAGGCAAGGACTGATTTAATGAGGCCACCATTCAAATGGCATCTCCTAATTTTCATTTATTCTGCTTCAGATTTGTTACTTCTCCTTATGAAAAAGCCATAGAAAAATGTAAAAAGCTAAACTCCTGCAAAAGGAGAGCTGCAGAAACTGGCTGTAGTCTGGGTAAGCTGGATATTCACTTGCTTTTAGAGGACTGTGTAGGAGTGGAGGAAGGAAGGGGAAATCAAAGCCTGCCTAAACCCAAAGCTCCTGCTTTAAAGATACCTCTTACTTTTTCCATGTATATGATCAAGTCCCAGATGAATATTATAAACTCAACTGCTTTGTCCATGTGATTTAAAGGCCTGTTACTGGAGATGAATTCAGGCAAGCAGGAACCTTCTGTCTAATGAGCAGTCTTCTTCTCTTGGTTGTTTCTAGTTGTTCATTATGATGTTACAAGGTATGGCTGTGTGTAATGACTCTGATGACACTGAAAATCATGACCTCTGAGGATAAATGTTCTAAAAAAAAGAGTGAGACAGGTTTTTATGAGAAGCCCCACTGCTTTCAAAGCTGTTTGTTCCTGAATAGTTTGAAAACTGAAAGGCTGCTCTGTAGAAAGGCTCTGGATTTGCTTGGTGTTTCCATGGACATTGGTGCACTTGGCAATGACTGCAGGGCAGAGACAATTTCACACATCCATGCCCCATAGGACATGAGTCCCATGTGTCTTTGAATCTGGCTTCACTGTATCCAGAAAACTTATTTGCTGATTCTCTGTTTGCTACAGAGAACAAAATCTTGAGAAAAGCTCTCACTGCCTAAGTGTGTATTGTAGCCTATTTTCTTCTGTATTTGGTTTTGTTTCAAGAATAAATAAACTCCTTGAGATGGCAGACTTGATTCAGATATTGCTTGAGTATCTTGTCCTCTTCTTTATCTCCCAGAAAGTAAAGCATATTTTCTGTATGTAACATCAGTCTTCAAAATACTTTGGAATTGTTTTTTTTGGCTCCACTGCTCATGGCCTGAAACCTGTCCGTACAAATGTGCCACTGTCCCACAGAAGGCAGTGGGCAGAAAGGGCGTATGGGCTCTTCTAAAAGATGGGCAAGAGAAATCAAGAGCTTGTTCTACAGCTTATGACTCAGCAGGGGAAGAGGTGTGAATGTAGAAAAATACATCCTCTGTATGATGAGCATAAAGTTCTTGGGTAGCCTCAGAGTGCCGGAGGCAGGTGACTTTCTGTCTGTAGGAAGATCTGTGGTATTTTGGTGACATGCTCCCCTGCTTAGAGGTGTGTGCAACAGTGGCAGCTTTGTGGTCTCTGCTGGGCACCAGGAAATAGTGTTCAGGATCAGGAGTGACTGTTTGCACCAACAGCCTCACATTGAATGCTCTCTTAGAAATGCTCAGCATAGCTCACCAACACCAGGGTCTAGTTTCTTATAAAGTACAGAGCTCATGTGCAGGTTCGGAGGCTCTTAAGTATTTCCTATCTATGTTCACTAGACTTGGCTATCTTCTCTTTTGGAGATTCCATGCTTCCTTTTCTTCAGCTCTGGGTTAGAAAAATGCCAGCAATGTAATCTACTTTTTATGTTGCTGGAGAAGCTTCATTTGTAGCTGTGCTGTTATATTAAGCCCTGCTTTTGCATGTGACCTACTGCTCTAACTTCATTTTTCTTGAGCAGGCATTTGTTTTTGTCTATATGCTTGCATATGGAATTTTTTTCTATTTCTGTGTGAGGTTGATTTGTTTTGTTTTCTTCTCCTCACTCCTGCATGCTCCCAACCTACTGTCTGTTTGCAGTTTGATGCCCTGGATGGAGCTGGATGGCGAATATCTCTACCTGTCTCAAGCAGAGAACATCCAGGCCTACCACCTCTGTGCAGGGGGGTCAGGTTTGGAGTGTCACCCTCAAGCCATCTTCTCTGGCCACCAGGAGGATGTGTGTCGCTTTGTTCTTGTCAACTCCCACATTGTCAGTGGAGGGGGGTAAGTTGGGTGAATGAAGGAACCAAGGGTTTTGCCACTGAAGTTGGAAAGATTCTGTGTGACTCCAGCCCAGAGCAGAGGAGCCAGTTTTGCTACACAGCATCCTCATACTTGGCTGTGGTCAGCTGCTGCCGCTTCCTCTCTTATAATTTTGGTTCTGACCTGATAAAGCTTCTCCTGCAGTATTGAAGGAGCTGAGTCTCATACTGTTGACCTTAAAAAGTGTCCTTAACTCTTGTAAACTTTTGTTGATGTCCACAGGATTGTGGAATTGGGAATGACTGATCAGGCAAACCTGACTGGTGTGCACATTTCATTTCTTTCCCTTTTAGAGCCAGTGTACCTAGACACTTCTAATAATCAGTACTACTGGTTAGCTGGGACTGCAGTAGTGCAGAAAGTTTTCTGGAGATAAGTGTGTGTTTATTAGATGCACTGATATAATTGTGGAGAGGGGAAAATCTGCCAAGTATTCCAGCACACACACACTTCTCCAATTAATTTTGCATTTGCCTGAACTTTTACAGTTACAGCAAGTGACAGGACTTTCATTAATAGCTAGAACAATAAAAATATACACAACAGTTAAGCACAGAATTGGAATTGGGAGAGACAAGCATGGCTATCTGCCCTGGGTATTGTGGGACTTTCCCTGTTAACTGTAGACCAAAATTCAGGTGAAAATGAAGGCTTGTATTTAAAATTCCAGTAACTGTGTTGGTTGAAAAAGGTCTAAATGTCTGGGTAGTTAATTCAAAGCACAGCACCCTGCATGGCTGCTCTGAAATGAATGAAAAGCTGAGGCTTGGACATGGGTGAGAATGTCCTCTCACTTGTTCCCTGACTCCAGCCATTCAGCACACAGACAGGATTCTGGCAAGCACAAAGCAGTAGGAGGTGGAATGGCTTCTTTGCTATAGTTTCTGCAGCTTAACACAAAGTGAAGGGTGGAAAGATAGCCAGGAAAACTTTCATGTGCATCAGATCAGGCTTTAACTGGCCAGATGTGGAATTGCAAGAGAACAGGTGATGTGTGAAGAGTGGAGGGTTAATAATTCTGCATGAATTTCAGCCCCTGTCAGAGACTAGTCCTGGTCTTTTTGTAGCACTTCAAAGCGTAAGTGGAAGGTGCATGTGCAAGAGGTACAAATTCTCTGCCTGTGGATTTGTTTTCAGAGATGGAAGTGTTGTCCTTCACAAGATCCATGGCTCCTACAGTGTCAAGTTCTCTGCGCATGAACAGGAGGTGAACTGTGTGGACTTCCAAGGTGGCCTCATTGTCAGCGGCTCCCGGGACCGAACAGCGAAGGTGAGCAGGGGATGTTTCAGCAGCTGCAGGTGTTGCTGTAGAGGTGACTTCAGAGTTCTTGTGCCATGAATAATTTAAGTGTCAGCAGAACTGTTTTGAGCCCTGTACTCCTTGCAGGAGGAATGCTGACTGTCTTGGCTCATGTCTCTGAAAAGATGCTTGCTCTGCCAGGCTTGTTAGAAAGAGATTTGGCAGTAATTTACAACATCAGCTGCTGGCTTAAACTTGGAAGTGCAGAAGGCAGCAGCTGATGTTTTACTTCTTTCCCTGTACATCCATCTACATTGTAGTGGAGATGCATGCCAGTTAATGTGAAATTTGCTGTAGGGATCTCAAACACATCATTGTTTTGTGATTTAACATTGCAATCTAGTCTAACATACTCTCTGTTATATATGCAATCTCTGTAAAGGATAGGATGATGTCTTTTCCAAATCTGTAGTTATTTGCTAATTCTGTGGTTTATTTTTTTGTGTGTAGGTTTTCTTGGTTTTTTTTTTTTGTTTTTTTTTTCAATGGTTCTTGGTTTGCAAACAGGAATGAAGTTAGACTATGAGTATTATTAGCTCCCATTTTTCTCTTCCAGCTGGCATCACTGTGTCCTGTCACGTAATTTTTGACTATTTCTTTTTGGGTCAGGACCTTGTTGATTTTTGTCCTTCTGGATCTGGTAGGCAATGGTTTGTTCACGTGTGGACCTGGAGAGTTGTTCATCGGAGCTGTAATCAGCTCTGTTTGATCAGTTTAGGAATCTCTACACAGATGTTCACCCTTACCCTGCTAGCATGATGCAGTACCTGTAGTATCTTCATAACCACTTGTTTCATTGTTGGAAGTGGTTGCTGTGTGTTGAATATGTTGGTTTTTGCTCCGGGTAGCCTGATAGACACTCTTGGTCCCTGGTTTATATCATAGAGCATTCACGGAGGTAAGCTAATTCCTGTTTTTCAAGAGAGGAAGTTGAAGCAAGGAAAGACTTAAATGTCTCTTTCAGGGTTTTATAGGAAGTGTGTGAAGAAGCATGACCCAATTTATTTTTGTTGGTCTCTCTGTACAGATGTACTCCTGAGTAAAATCACTTGCAAGTAAAGCAAACAATGTTCTAATATAAAAGGCAATTTTGGGATTATTGTTTGCCTCCTGGGAGCAAGACCTTGATGCTGCTTTGTCTCACACTTCACCAGTGTTGCTCCTCTCTGGTCTGTGGATCTTCTTTTCTGGGAGAGTACCTTCTTGCTACTTCTCTGACAGCTGGAGGACAGACATCCCCGACCTTGAGAACAAATTCCTGGAGCCTAGAGGGGAATTTCAAGCTGTTTTTCTCAGAGCTAGTGTGAGATCTTGCCCACACAGTGCTCCCCACAGCATATACTCTCGGGATGTTCACCTCTTATTTTTTATCATCTCTTTTGTAGGCTGTCTTGTTTGCATGAGTGAGACTCTTGGAGGGTGGAAGGGAATCCCTACCAACCTTTTAAAGGGGCTCTAAGTGTCTAAGCTATTGAGGGCTCTGCTGAGTGTTGATTAGGACTAAGCCCTGAAGAGCTGTTAATGTACATTCCTGTGTGATAGGCAGCAGATAGTGTGCTCTGAGCAATATTTTTAACCTGTAGGAGATAGGGATGCCTTAAAGGAGTTAAGCTTTTCTGCTGCTTTTGCTGACACTAGGTGCTAAATTCCCCGCTGACAAGAATAGCCTGCAATCCTGGGCATTATCAACAAACAAACAAATAGGGCACTCCGCGCTTTGAAGTCTTGAAGCAAAACATTGGGGGTTGGTTACAGACAACTGGGGGGGCTTGAGTCCTGTAGGCCAAGAATAATGGCAAGGTGGAGAAAATGAGGGCCACTAGCAGAGGGCCTAGCAAGAATTTTGGACTCTTTATTAGGGCCCAGAAACAAAGGGGTGAACTGGTGGAAGGAGATGTGCATGTTTGCACTGTTGGGAGAGGGAAGGAATTCTCTCATACTGTCAGTGAGCAAAGGCAGCCAGTTTGAAAGCAGCCTGGGGTACACTTGAAAAACTTGGTCTAAAGGGGGGTCTCATAAAAGAAGATTATTTTACAGGCTGGTGAATGATTAACTTTATAGTTAATGGAAAATTTTCAGGGATGCTACAAAGTCTTCCCACACTGTTCAAGAGAACAGATTTGAACAAATCCTAGTTGTCATTTATTTAACTGTAGAAGATGAGGAGTTTGTGTTGAATGCTGCCATTAGAGAGCAGGTAGTGATGGGGGTGCTGTCTCTGTTAACAATGGGGTGGAAGGTCATCCTTATAAACTGAATCTTTGTGTGACTTCAAGTGCTTGTTTCTGCCAGCAATTGAAGGTTCTGGTCCCCCAGAATAAGTAATTGGAATTCAGGGAGAGGGTCTGTGGGAAGGTAAGCATGGCAGTGTGGACAGCTCTTCCAGCACATCAGCAGCATGTATCCTACCTTCTGCTATTTTGGTGATGTGGCATAACATGTGTCTCTCTCTTTAGGTTTGGTCCCTGTCCGCGGGCAGAGTTGGTCAGTGTCTACATACAGTGCAGACAGAGGATCGAGTGTGGTCCATTGCTATCAGCCCATTATTAAGGTAACAGATCTCTTTATTCCCCATTTTTAGCAGAGAGAAGTAAAGGAGTTGGATAGACTGTGTGTCCACAAATCTTTGAGGCACCAATGTTACAGTTCAGGGAGTTGATTTGTGTGGAGGAGGCTGATGAGGTGCTTGTGCCTGCAGCAGGAGCTCAGGGAAGAGCATGTGGTCTTTATTTCCTAAACCAGCAGAGTGATCCCCTTATAAAGAGGCCATGAAGGTGGCCCTGGGTTCCTCTTAGTGCTGCAGGTGGGACCTGTTCATTCTTTCTTGAAGAAGGAACACTGACTTGCTAATTGGAAACAGTGAGCTGGATCCTCTTGAGATTTTCTCTGCTGAAAAGATGCCAACCTGTATTCTCAATCACTGGCAGAAGAGATGCTGAACAAAAAGGTCCCTGCTTGAGAGTTGCGTGCAGTTTTTTTGAACATGTTGAACTGGCAAAGATGAAGTAGAGTTCAGGGATGTGGTTTTCCAGCCTCTGTTGCCTGTAGCTCTGTACTTCTAATGCAGGCATAATGCTACAAGTATAGCTTCAGCATGGGAGGCAAGGGCAGTACATACACCAATGTCTTCCAGGGTGTTCTTTGAAGTGCTCCTGTTATTGAAGAAGTGAAAATCTGAGAAACTCTCACTGTTAAAATCTTACACCAAACAGCAATGATCTGTCTCTTTGGTTCACTGTTAAACTGGTCTGCGTGCAAGAGACGTTCTTCCTCAGCATACCTTAGGGAAGAGGAGAAGAACTGTTGTTGCTGCTCATGTGATGTCTGCAACTGCTGAATTTTAGGCTTGTGTAAAACCAAAATACTGTCCACAACTGCTGTCCTTGTTAGCTTTCCAAGCTTGTTTTGCAGGCAGCAGAAACTTAGTGGTATGGAGGTAATGGCTTTATCAGGGAAATTGCACTCCAGGCTTGCTATGATTTTGCTGTTGCCTTGTTCCTTTGCTCTGAGTGTTTGAGTTTTTGAAGAAGTGCCACGTGCATTAGTGCTGCTGAAAAATGTGAGATAGAAGCCCTTTTCTGTCTTCTGTGCTGCAAGGATCCCTTTTCTGGCAGACGAGCTCTAGCTCAGGCACTGTGTCTGGTTAGAGGCCAGTGGCATTCTGCTTCCTACTCCTAAGTGATGACCTACTGCTGTGGCCTCTTGTCAGGATGGTGTTCCTCTCCGTGGTGTGCATGCTTGTGCACACTCTCTGTCACAATATTTACCCTCAGTCTCCCCACCCCCCCTTTCCTCCCTGCAGGGTGATAAATTGGAGGTGGTGGAACAGCTAACCCATGAACAAGTGGGCTTAAATTGTGCACTCTCATTTTTTATGAGACCGTGGACTGTACCAGCCTCTCCCACTAGCTCACCCTACTGCACCCTCCCCTTACCCCTCCATTTTTTAGGGAGGGGGGTGTGGAGAATTAGAGCCAATTAGCCACGTCATTAATTCTTCAATTTGACGGCTGATATAGCAGGGCCTGAAACACGCTGCTGACCTCGTATAATGGGAACCCTGCTCCTTAACATATTGACGATGGGAGAAGTTAATTAAAATTCCACAGAGAGAAGGTGTCGGCTAACCTATAAACCTGTCGCTTCTCAGAACAAATCGCAGCCATCCTAGAAGAGAGAGAGGATCAGAGCAGGAGGGCATGTGGTGGGGGTTGGCCAGGGCAAGGGGCAGGGGAGATGAATTTTTCACTAATAGGTTTTATTACTTGCTGTCTAATGAAGGTGAGTATCAAAAAGATAATATCTGGTTTCTAGGAAAATCTGCTTTGGGGAGCTCTGTGGTTTCTGCTTTATTGCAAGAGCCCATATTTCACCCATATGCATTCCCTATGCACTTAGGTCTAAAGCTCTTCCTCCTTTGCAGTCCCCATCCTTCTAGCCAGAGCTTGGATACATTTGTTCCCCAGTGAGGCTGAACATGGCCTAAAACCTCCACTTCCTGCTAAACATTTAACGTGACCTTCTCAATTGATTCTCCCTTCTCAATTGTATTGATGTAAACTGAGATCTCCTCCATAAGGACAAGTAGTTCTACTGGAGAATCAGGCTCCAGCCACTTAAGTATTTTGGCCCATTGCTGCTAAGAAACGGCAGCTGTCTCTACTATGGACACAGAGAGCTAAAAGCAGTTGTGTGCAGTGGGGTAGGAGCAAGAAGGGCTTCTCCAACTCTAGCCATTCAAAATTGCTTTGGAGAGGCTGTAGTTTCCTTACCTGGAAGTTTGCCAGGATTTAGGCTCTCTGAAGAAGTCAGGGTGGTATTCTTGCTGAACTTCAGCTGTTAGTGGGCTGAAACATTTTGTCTTTTCAGTGATACCTTCCTCTGTGTGAAGCTTCTTACAAGTATCCCATATGCTCCTGACCCACAGCTGGGTTTTCTGCTGTGCCTGCTGTAGTCCTGCACTGCTGGACTGCTATTCTAGAGGACAGTGCCTGTAAACTCAGGCTAAATGTTAGAGACTTGTGCTCTTAGAGCACAGCTCCTCTGGTTTCGGGCATTTTTTCCTTAGGTGTTCTGCTTTGATTTGTCCATAGTTTCCTTGTGTCACTGCAGAGATCAACCTGTAGATGTGCAGAACCAGAGGAGGCGGCTTCCTTGTTCTTAGTGTACTGGTGCTATTCTGGATGTTTCTGGGTCTGTGAACAGAATGATTCCTATAAGGGACATTAAGTAGAGGAAAAGGTATTAAAAGTGTACAAAGAATATGGGATCATCTCTTCATACTGTGCAGGGGAAAACTATGCTTAGTCCTTTGCATAACTTTTTCAGCCATGGAAGTGTCTTGACAGCCATGTGTGTTGATGGAGCTTCATTGCTTTGGGGATCCCTAACATTGCACTGCAGGGTAACGGGGATGGGAGGGCATAGTGTTTCTTCTGGGTTTTTAGTGAGTCTGCAAAGATATGCTGGTTGGTATGCTTTGGATAGCAGGTCACACACTGCACGTGTCACATAAGTGACTAGAGAAGACTCTGAGAGAGTTCTTAAAGTAGGATACTTAAAATAAGGGTATGTCAGCTTCATTCTGCCACTGGTTTAATTGATCTCCAAAGCTGTCCTTCTCCATGGGTTAGTAAAATGCTGTACTTACTCTGCTGCATACCCTAAACTACATTTTGTAGCTACTCATAATCTTCTTCCCCCCACAAGTTCATTTGCCTTTTGAACTCTGCATCACACAGATGTTAAACTTTCATTTACTGGTGCTTACTGCAGTGACTTATATGTGCTCAGGGACCAGGGCAAGCCTAAGTGCAGTGGACTAGTTCAAATGTGCAAAGTGAGGCAAACTTGGGAGTTTCTGGTAGAGCAGTGGAACCTTCATGCTTTGTGGTTCACTGAAGTGGCAGTAGCCAGGGAAGAGAAGGGAGAAGTGTACAAGGTAAACTGGAGGGGAAAGAAAAAAGTGGACCTTCATGTTAAGTTCATTATTAATCTTGGATCCAGATTTTTTTTGGTGTTGAATTTAAAAAAGTACTCAGATCTAAGCTGACTTCTTTTGCCAGGTCTGGCCACTGGTATTTGCTACTTTCATTTTTAAATATTTAAATATTATCATGAGATGCTGTACTCAAAGTGCGTCAGATTTTAAAGGAAGCAAAGAGAAGACAGAGGCACACAAATGGTTTCCAATGTGCAACTGTAGATGAGCAGAAGGATGCCAGGTTTCAGCTGTAGATAGAGAGCTAGGAAATCCTTGGTACACTTTGGGGCAATCATAAAGTGCCCTCCTGTGACAGAAACATGCTTTGGGTGTGTAAGCCCAAGAGACAGTTTCTTTTTTTCTGACTCTGTCATTAGTCTGCTGCAATAGATAGTCTGCTCTCCTTGTGGTTGTTGTCTTGGTGAAGTGCAGGTTAACTGCAGAGAGAAGGAAAGTTTGTACTGAAGGCTAGCTGTCTGCATTGGATGCTTAATTTAAAGGAAAGTAAGTACTTGCACAAACAGCTAAATTTAAAAAGGCAGGCTGGCTGTCCTGTTTATGCAGTGTTGTAGTTGAGACCCAACTCCTCTATTAGAATAAGCTGATTTTAGCCTAATTGCCTCTTGCATGGATTATTATGAGGAAGTAATATCTGAGGAGATCTCTGCTTCTGTGGACAACCTCAGGCAAATTGTAAAACATGCCCCAAACTCGCTGGAGAAAGGAAGGAAGAGAAAGGTTACTGACAGGCGACTTTATTGAATGGGCCTCTCTGCCTTTGGGGGTGATCAAAATGATTAATTTTGAGGGTTTCCTTTTAATGGTTATCTAGAAACTTGTGAAAGTGTAATAATCTGGTCTTGCAGGTTGCCTTAGAGCAAAACAACCCACTTGAATCAGAGCAACTTTGCAGTGGTATTAACTGTGCAATTGAAGTCCTAATGTGTAGAAGTTAAATTGTTGGATAATGTTCCCCTGCCCTCATTTCTTACTCTGATTTTATCAGCAGGTTTCCCCTACTGCATATCAAGATGAGCTGTTGGCCGTAGTGTGCTCTGCTTTGACCTAGCTTTGTGCAGTTAGCCTCTCTGAGTCTGCAAGGACTTGGGAGAAGTAACTGAGTTTTGTTCGGGTTTGTGCATTGCCAGCAAAACAGCCAGCAGCAATAGCTCTGCTGTCCTTGGGGATCTTCATAGAGCCTGGTTGGCTTGAATAATTGAGAGGGGACTCTGACCTGCAGCTGTTTCTTAAGCAGGGCAGGAAGAACCTGCTCAACTGTGAGATCCCAGAGTGGACGTGCAACGTTAGTGGTGGCATTAACTGCCATCTTTTACTGACCTCAGAGGGCAATCTGGATGTGGGTTTCTAGGTATATGCAATAGTCATAACTGACTTGGTGCTCTTTCACCCTAAAGCTGAAGAGCAGGAAATGAGTATCAGTTTCTCCCCTCTGGAGCTAAAATGACACCTGTGTCTTATCCATTTGCCCTGACTGTTCCCTTGATGTTGGGAGGAAGAAGACTTTGTTTTACTCTCTTTAATTGTGTGATAATGGCTCTATTTGGTCT